TAATAAAATCACGTCGAGTTTAATGCATATACGAAGTACCGTTTTTACGAAAAAGTAAAACCAAAGTGAGCCTAAAAACAAGTTTTTTTTAAATTAATTACCCCTTTAATTTCACTTTCTGCTTTATTTCTTCGTCTTCGTGGTTCAAATTTGGCCACAGCGTCTTATTGAAATTAATCAATGACACTAGACAACTGCGCCAGAGCTATTATAGTGCACAAATACAAGTGCACTCTCAATCCCTTGCACTTTCAGTTTGGTGGTACAAATTGACACCACCGATGAAAGATATTTACTCTCCGAGGCATGAGGGTGGAACGATGCTAAGTTTCCAACTGTAGGCTTTTAATGAGAATTTCTCAACAGGAAACCCCAATAACACTAAGCCTAGAACTAAAATCCTGTGTTATATTCTGTGAAAATTTCAACCAACTTCATATTATGATTTAAAATATTTCCAGTTATTTAAATTTAAGGCCGATAGATAAATACACGGATGAATTAAAAACATTTTTAGCTTAGTAATTGTATTTAGTTTGGGATATTTGGGTTCCAAATGCTACAAAAATGTATTGCACAAATAACCCAGTCACTTGGTGCTCAAAAAAGAGGTTACCTGGAAAGTTTTTCGGGAGTTTTGAAAATTGGTGGTTTTATAGATTTCGACGGCCCCTTTAAAAATTTCTACTTTGCAACGTCGTATCTCTGTTGCTCGCGAAGCTATATTTTTTCTATGCATTAAACGATGAAAATATTATATAATAAATTAAACGTATGAGAATTCCCTTTAATTTATGTAATAACTTTTTTTGTAAAATCAATAGTTTTAGTGTACGAGCGTTGCAAAGTCGATTCAACACGTTTTGACCAAAAAACCCATTTCCACATCACCTGTTAGATAGACATATTTAGATGTTAGATATCGCAGTATATGGCGCGTTTTTATCATGGTAACCCTAGTATGCCTAATTCATAAATCAAATCAAAATATACTTTATTCAAATAGACTTTTACAAGCACTTTTAAAACTTTCTAGGTAAAACTACCAAATGATTGGACACAAAAAATGTCAATTCTAACGTGGAACTCGTTAAAACAATACAAATAAGCTCAAATTCAAAGTTTTCACTAGTAGGTATACCCACAACTGAACTCCATCATCAAAACATGTCGATGGTATCGAATTACACGACATTTAGATTTTAATACTCGTAGTGAGCTTTGAGCTACGAGTAACTAACAAAAAGCTTAGCCACTTGTGAAACTAGCCATTATTAGTAATTTCAAATATTATTTTTATTACAACGGTAATTTGTTAAACTTAAAAGTTGTAAAACTAGAAGTTACGGCATTCTAGAAGTGGGTTGCACGGAACAATACGTATGTTCTTAGATTTATTCGTCATTCAGTTTGCGGTGAGGTTCTCCGCGGCTTCGGAGTTAAATTGTTTATAACTTGGAAAACTTTTACGTCGAATGCGCAAGAGTTACGTGACATCTAATTAGCATTCCTACAATTATGTGATTATATTTTAAACTAGCGACTCACCCTCGCTTTGCTCGGGCTTGTCCCTAGGTTGATTCCCTATACAAATTTTCATAGCCATTTTCACTCTCTTAAGGGATGACTACCGGGATAAAAACTATTCTATGTCCTTTCCAGGGTCTCAAACTATCTTCTCAAAATTTCATCTTAATTGGTCCAGTCGTTTTTGAGTTTATTATTTACAAACATACAAAAATACAAATCTTTCCTCTTTATAATAGTAGTGTAGATATAGATTTAAAAAGTTAAATAAATAAAACAGACTGCAAAATATTATTATTGGGGCTTTTAGAAAAAGATGATATTGGTAATAATTTATAAGTCAATTTGGCATAGTATTCATTTCAATTCTATTGGTCCAACTAGTGACGGTAATCTGAAGCTAAAATATAATAAATTATATCTAACGAAGAATAAGTTTTCCCTATAATAATAAAAGTAAAATAAGCTAAGTCAGTTTGTTAGTGTAACTTGAACTTTACACAACTTTCAAATATGATTTCCCTCATGCATGAAATTTTCAGTCTAGAACACTATGAACGTATCACATTTTATAGCTAAGCCATGTTACATATTTATAATATACTAGCAGAACCCGTGGCATCGCTCGCGCTAAAACTACAAAAAAAAAAACTAAAAACGTAGGTGTCATACAAACTTTCTTCCCCTATTGTACCCCTTCATGGTATGAATTTCGAAAAATGCTAAAACATTTATATTTATTTAATTTAATTGAAGTGCATTTATACTAAGTTTCAAGTAATTCTGATCATACATAATTTTTTGGGGTTGTATTATAACGTATATTCCCGTGGGAATAGGATAATCTCCCACGGTAAAAAGTATCCTGTAGCACTCTCCAGCCCTTCAACTATCTCCACACAAATAAAAAGTAATAAACATCACTCCAATCAGTCACTCTGTTTCGACATGAAAGAAGGACAAACAAACAAACTAACACACTTTCATATTTAAAATATTAAAGTATGGATACAAGTGCTTTATTACCGCTTCGCTCGGCTGCTTCCCAATTGTATTGCAACTTGATACATAAACACCGACTGTTCTTTTTACGTATAATTTTTTTCTTTATGGCTTAGAGCTGCTTTAACAGATGCAATTCATTCTGCCAGTGTAATAAGTATAATTATATGTACATAAATTATGAATTTATCTTTTGACAAGCGATCAGCGCCACCTTTTAGCAAATTTAATTACTAACAGTAGTTTCTAAGCTAATTAAGGCATGATGCCACCACGACAAGATAAAACTATGTTACCTTATCATGGTGCCATGCGAGTTGCTCCTTCTCTAACAGTAAGACAGGCCTACTACATGCCGTGGGAGCAACCCCTAGGTTGTGTGGTCTGCTTCGGCAGACCTGCCGTCGCGTCGGTGCGTCGTAGTTGAGTGATTAAGACGGAGGAGGTTCTGTTGGATTTTAATGAGTAGTACTGGCTTTTCTAGTCAGTGAGTCTCACATCACCACCTGTATGTATATATATGCGTAAATGCATTTCACAACCAAAAAAAAGGTAATATAGTCTATCTGTCTATTGCATTTTATTCAAATTCATTTAAGCGAAGCAGTATGGTGCTCATACAAACTTCTGCATTTATAATAAAGTGCCTAAGTAAAATCATTTGAATCATTACGTTTTTTCCTTTTGTGATATTGAAAATTGAAAGATAATGCAGAATAATAACACTGTTTTATCTCCCTCATAAGTCAGAAGAAGGATAATAAGCCAGATATTTAACCAGATTAGAATCATTGTTTACTTCATAGCAAACATTCACTTTGCCAGCAAGTTCATCTACGTTAGTAGAGCTATATCTATTAAGATTTACGTTAACCCATAATCTAGACCTAGGTCGTTATAATTGCAATATAATTGCTACAATTAGGGGTCACTATATCATGCAAGGTATTATACCGTGAAGATAGTGCTTAGTAATGATTTTCATATAATTGGTTTCTGGTCTACTATTATTTTAGAGTGATTGTATCATTAGTGCATGTGGCTGCAGTTTATCGTGGGTTCGAATCTAAGATCAGACCAAAAAATAATTTGGGTTTTTCTGTTAACAAAATTGTTGCAGTAGTAGCCCGGAGTTTTTACATTTCTGTATCATGAGCATTTTTTGAGCACTGCTTTGGATCTAGCTTTGGATTTAGATCTTTTTAAGATCATGTCTTCTTCTTCTCTTACATCTGACTATGAGAGCGAACGAATAGAGATTCAAATCTTACTTATATTATAAATGTTTGTGAGGATAGATTGATGAATGGTTGGATGTTTGATATTCAATCCTGTCAGAACGGCTGAACAGATCTAGATCAATTTCGGTACAGAGATAGATTATAGTCTGGAATAGCATATAGATTTTTGTAAAATGTACGGTTCCAGTGGGATAGATTTGTTTTTGTCTACGGATGAACCCAAAGCGAAGCTAGAATGAGTCGCTAGTATCTAATATCTATCGCGCAGATATCTCGTTAAGATTAGGTGCAAGAGAAGCGAAAATCAGTTCAGAGGACTGTGTATACAGTGTAGTAGAAAGTGTTATTTACAAATGTACTAGTTTCATACCTAGTTCCGGGGTCAGGATAATATGTTTGTGTCTATATTTTAGTAACTCAAGCCCATGGACGAATTAGAGACAATTCGTTCATGCTCAAGCCTTTAGGCAACGAAAGTGGCCTCAAATAAATTAAAAGCTAGAAGCAAAAATTCCTCTACACACTTTTTGCCAATTTATTACAAGTAAAGAAATCTTTTTAACAAGCATAATCGTTTATATGTACAAGATTTATGTAAAATATTTTTGACAGTAGAAAATGTAATTTAATAAAGAAAAAACAATCATAATGGCGCAGTCATTTACTTTTTGGTCCTGGGGCGTTGCTCCTGTTACTTTTTCATTTATTGTTTCCGGCAGATTTAGAAAAGGATGTCGTAAACATTTGGTCTGTGTTTTTAGGGGTGGATGTTAATCGATGTTAGCCAATTGTGGACCGATGTCTAAAAATATTTTATGAAATTTAAGAATTTTTAACCAAAGGGCTTTTTCCCCATGTTCCATTCCCATATTTTTTACCATGTAAATTTAAAAAAGTTCACCTATAATATGGAGGTGGATTAATTTTTCGCTCTTATAAATACGTTAAATTTATTTCTTTTTATGTGGGAGAAAATAGAACTAGAAGTGCTGAACGAATTTTCATAATACAAGTAGAAAAGCAAACGAAAACTATTATTTCTAAAGAATATCCCTATTGTATGCTTACACTACCTGTCAATATATCTATAAATGGTAGGCAAAGTGCGGTGTATATTTAGTTATTATATCCTTATTACATATTCAATAGATAAATTGTTAAACTGTAACTCGTTCTTGTCAATAAATATCAATTTTCTTGCAAATTCCTAAGAGAAATATATATTTTCAGTCGAGGTGACCTGTGGAGCGACCGTGCAAAACAACCTCACCTACTTCATGTCCCCAGGCTTCCCAGAGCTTTGGACCGGTGAAAAGGAATGTTCTATACAAATAGAGAAGAGCTACGCTGGCATCATGCAACTGAGAATCGATTTTGTGCACTTCACTATCGTAAGTAACATGGAATATTAATAAAAAACACCCATCATGAATATTTATTCTTTAAAAAAGCAAATAGTTATTATTTATATAGATTATACATATAGGCCTCAATTAAATAAATATTATATTTTATACTAGCGTTATACTAAGTTCTGCCCCATACAAACTTTCATCACCATTTTCACCGCCTTAATTGATGATTTCCGGTATAAAACTATTCTATGGGTCCTTCCCAGGATCTTAAACTGTCCCCCCCAACGTGCGTTCACCTTGTCGTGGTTCAGTAGTTACGGTACGGTACGGTGACTTTATTTGGTACAAACAAACAAACAAAAAATCGTTCCTCTTTATAATATTAGTATAGATGACACGAGACTCAAATCTATGATACTTATGCTTTATACAAAAATATGGTCATATATGAAAGAAGGGTTAAAGTCTGGTAGCTAAAAATATATTTATAGGCCCGCGTGTAACCGCTGACTAAGGTCAGTCTACGAATAATTTTAAATCGATTTGGGCTTACATTAGAAATGTTCTAGTTTAATTTTGCTTCTTTCAATACATATTGTTTTTAATTGGCACTTTCAATATAAACTTTATTTCTATAGTTATTAAGGTTTCGTTTAGCAAAACTCAATTTATTTTCTACGCTAAATGAAAAGAAGTGGAAGGTGGAAGGTTTTTTTTGCGGATTCAATTTGATTTTTGGGTCTCGATGTTTCGAATACTTTACAACAATCATGGTGACGGCAGGTTTATGCGTCGAGTTAAGTGAACCCAAAAACAATAGTTAATTTTGATTCTACGTGTAAATTATACAAAATTTGATTTTTTATGTATAAATAAATAAATAAATAGATAAATATATATTGGATAAATGTATATGGTATGATGATAGCTGGTTATCCAGATCAACATATATGATACTTCTTACTGCGGGACTGTATCTCATCTCTGAGAAATATATACGAACCGTTAAAACGTACATACGGACAAATCCGATCGGATCGAGGATGAGTCGCTCGTTTTAGTATATTACGTTTAATTCACAAAAAAAATTGTTACCAAAAGATTTATTTGCTTATTTGTCGTAGATCAATTAGTAATTTAATCTCAGTTGATCTTTCATCATTTGCATTACTAAAATTGTATTCAAAACAAATAAGACTTAGCTTTTGTGAGTTTCACGGGTATATTATACTGTGTAGACAAAAGTCATGGTATTATCATATTTCGTTCATTTTAAATAAATCTATCTTTTCGGATTTTTTCGCGAATTTATTTTGATTTATGGCTCCTGACGTTTCGAATGCTTTACAGATCATGGTCACGGGAGAGAATGAGGTGTTAGATGTCTTTAAAGTATTATATATTTGTTACAGACAGCCTCCCCTCAAATAACAAAATGAGTTCAAAAAATTGAATAATGGCACCAAAGTACCTTACAATATTTTTTAACTTTTAACATTTTTATAATTTTAATTAGTTCTATAATTGAATATGGAATATTATTTATTTAATTTTAGCCGTTGTTATTATAATTATTCATTTCATCATAATTTTTTGGATGAATCATGGGTTGTGTTTTTTAAGAACGCGTATTCATTTTACATACATCTGATGTAAGATTTTCATGAAATTTGGTATAATGATAGCTGTCCGGGTCTGATACTTTTTCTATACTAAACGTTAAAACGTAATAAGGGGCGAACCCGAGCGGAGCCAGGGTGAGTCACTAGATGTACATATAACAGGATCCATACCAAAAATTAAGGGTTAACATATTTTTTTTGTAAGATATTATAATAAAAGCCATTCAGCAGATTTTTAAGAATGTTTGTTGTAATAACTATTTATTTCAAAAACTGTGAAAACAAAAATCTTTTATTGTTTTAGGGGCAACCAAATAGAACAACCGGCGAATGTAACGAAGATGCAATGATACTAGGTGAAGGCGCTGCGAACTTTACAATATGTGGACAAAATCACGCACAGCATAGTGAGTATATATATGTATTATATAATCATATATGAAAATAGTACAATGTCTGTACATCAATTACAGGTTAATTTCACATGGAAATAATAATAATTCTAGAAAGAAAAAATAAATTAGATTGTTACTCACTTATGTTGTAAAGTAAAATTAAAAAGATAAAACAAACATAAAAACATCTGCGTAAAGACAGCCGATTTAAAACGATTTTGATGCCTTTTTGAAGTGGAACTTCTTTAGAATCATTGTGATTTGAAACTCGATGAAACGGAAATGGAACGGAAATGCGACACTAAAAAGAGACAAACATATAAATATATACGATTAAGCCTGCGAGACAATGAGATAGAATACATTGCCATGTTGCCATGGTAACCGTTGTTATTATCTGGCACATATATAATATTAAGTTTAATTTCTACCATGTGTGAATTGCACACACACGCACGTGTTTTTTTATTAACAGCTCTACATAAAAACATGAACATGAAAACTAACAATTATTCCCACAAATTTTGGTTGGCGTAAAATTTTAATTCAAAGTAATTATAGTAACTAGTATAAGATAGAACTTAATACTTATATGTTAAATTGTGTGAATTAATCGCGCTGTTAACAACTAATTATATATTAAAATATTATAGAAATCGTTTGAAAAACATCTATGGTTTCCCACAAACTTATATAAGATATTAATAATAAAATATTCTAATTCAATTTGATTTTTGATTTGATTGATTGATAACGAAAGTCTTAATACAATTTGTTAATTCGTTTAGCTCTATCGCTTTCTAAATTTTTATAAAGCAAACAGAAAGATTACCAATATAATAAAAAATGCATGTAATCAAAAGTTTTGACTTTTGATGTCACTACCTCCACTAAGTCGGGTTACAACCTGACAAATTACACCCACTTTTCTTACTTTACAAGCATTTTGTTCTTTGTATTCTCAGACCCGCCCCTATTGACTCTAAGTACTTTAAGAGCTTACGAAACTTTTAAATGGCATGTTGTGAGTTTTTATTTGTTAGATTGTAAGTAAATTGAAACAGTTCCAAATGAAACTTGAGTACCTTTTTGAAGTTTATAGTGCCAATTAACTTGTTCTTATGAAGCTTTCGGTAAAAAACACTGATGTGATAGTTTTTATTCTTGTAAACATTATAAGAATAAGTTGTACATGGAGTAAAGGTTAAATAAAATTACCTTTTCTTTCTGAAATAGTTTAAAAATCCTGTTTGATCTTACTTTAACGTAAAAGATATTACAATGAGTCCTACCCCTTAGATTAAATTTTGCTTGCAGTATTATTTTTTAAGGAAAGCATGTGCTGTTTATTAGTAAAACATAATTAAATTTCCATATGTGAAACCACTTTTTGAAGTAAAACTTCTTTACGCACGCTTGACTTAGGGAGTAAGCTGGTGAATGAGTGACGAGAGCGTTACGAAAAATGTGATCGGATGAGGCGAACGTTTGTTGCTATGGTAACCATTGTTATAGTCCGACAAATGATATAATACTATATTCTTTCCTTAAATGATAATCTATAACTATAAGATTGTAATATGCCTAATATACGTTATTTAATTATTTTTATTAAAATTGAAATATTTAGCTATTTTTGTTCTGTTACGCCAAAGAAGTATAACTTCTTACGTGCGTACATAAGTACACACACACGTTTTTTAGTATCTCACCTATCCTAATTATTTAAAACATAAATTGAATTTCATAAAGAGTACCGATAACCTATAGAAGTTTTACTTCTTGCGCGTGTACACAATCATACACGCACTCTTTAACTTTTTTGTATTACTATAAAGTTTTATTTGATTGGAACTGTTCAAATTGCTGCCTAAAAACAACCTATTTCCATTAGAATAATAAAATCTAACATAGAATATATTTTGATTTTTATTTTGCAATTTCGCTGGGCCATTGTTTGAATTTATGTTTTGTTAGTGACATGTGTTTGAAGTGATTGCTTGAACATTTTTCGTATATGGCTTTTAAAAAATCGGTTAGCTCTACCTTTTTGTATACAAATTAACATACAAAAATTATTCAAAAAACTTTGCACAAAATATACAAAATAAAATACATGTCTATAATATTGAACTTCTTATGCATTTCACTGCACTGCATTCTTATTAAATTTCTCGAATAAATATAAATAAATAAATATATGTTGGAACATTAACACACAACACCATCTAGTTCAATGGTAAGCTACGAGGCCTGTGTTATGGATACCAGATAGTTGATACACTACACATATATAACTTTAAATACATACATATTATAAATATAAACACCAATGACTGGATACAAACATTCGTGCTCATCACAGAAACGAATGCCCCCAGCGGGACTCGAACCCACGACCGGTAGGCACAGCAAGTAGGGTCACTACACACTGAGCCAAACGTGACGACTAATTACGAATGTAACTCATTATTCACTATGTAAGCTAAACTGTTACTGTAGCCATATTAATAGGTTTTATAAATGCGAAAGTTTATAATTGTACTAGCGACTCACCCTCGCTTGGCTCGGCTCGTCCCTAGAAACATTTTAACGATTCGTATATATACATAGGTATGATGAGTTTTATATTCATTACTCTTTTTCTTGGAAGAAAGTAAACGAATTGTACGGCAAAGTCTAATAGTAACATAAACAGATTATCACGCTACTATTTTTGGCTTTGACATTTTTTTGGCGAGGTCCGTCGATTAAATCTTTAATTTGAGGATCAGAAGTGATACATATTACTGTTAGGCTCTTAGGGACTCACCCGAGCGAAACGAGCATAACTTTAGTATACTATAATTGTTACAAAATTCACTTTTTATCCACAGTATATTACACTTTACCTAGCAACACTGAATCTCGGGAAGCCGGGGAGCTACCAACGTCTAAGTCCATTCCGTTAGTCATTCGTATGAGAGGGACTGATATGCCGCGGCTATGGCTGCTGCGGCTCGCACAGATGCCTCTCGCGTATTCATCTCCTCATAACTGCTTGCAATATCATCTACAGGATAATGGTAAGTTTATGTACAAAATTATGGTGGTGTATCAAAAAAGTACTAGATACACAATCAGCGACAAAAATGACCTCACGAATGAGCGCTCATTTCAACATTTGAGCGCGCTTGTAATTTTTTTTGTGATACAGCTTTAAGCATTGAATTTAAGATCCAATTTATATTGTTGTATATTTATTTCAACTAGAATAATTACTTAAACACAATTGGTGATAGTTTGAAAATAACTAATGCTTAAAATGGCATGGGATTGTGTATCTAGTACTTTTTTGATCGATGTAGTGTTTGTAAAAGAAGGACTCCTTCCTTCATCGGTTAAGATCATTAAATAACTTATATGTATTAAGACGAATATTTTATAGATTTTACAGATGTTATTTAATTTTAAAGGCATTAAACATAATAAAATTCAGATGTGTATGTCCGTAATCCTCTTCCTGAACGAAAAAAATAATAATAAAATGATCATCATCTGGATCTTAACTATACATTTTTTTAATGTTTCAGCTAAATTTTTTGAGTTTTTTTGCTTCTCTACCACAAAACAACATAATATAATGTAAAATATTTCAGAGTTTCTTGTTAAATATAAATTAAGTAGCGAGATCTAAGCCCATCAAATAATTTTTTTTCTATTATTCAGCCCTTTTTAACGTCTCACTGCTAGGCGCGGGCCCCCCTTCAATACGAGGGGTATCAGGCCATAGTCCACCACGCTGGCCAAGTGCGGGTTGGTGGACTTCACATGGCTGTCAAAAACTCTCGACGTAATCAATAAAAATCAAATAATAAAGACCGAAGAAAGTTTTTAAACCGTTCACTTCATTAAAAATTATAAGTAAAATTCTCATATCATATAAACTCTGTCTCAATATAAATTATATTCACCTGCAATAAAAACGAGAGATATGAGCAATCTAATACATGTATTTAATTTCCTTTCACAGGCACAATAAAAACCTTTAACTACGCAACAAATGGACGCCACCTCGCTCGTCAAGAGTACCGTGCGTGCGTGCGACGTAACATCGGCTTTTGTTCCATACGATACACTCCATGCGACAGCCGTTCTTTCAGAATAGGACCCCGAGGCGATAATGTTGAACCTGCTCGTACGTATAATATATACTACTTATAAATTGCCTTATTGGTCTAGTGGCTAGCGTGTAAGGCGGCGGATCCATACGGCCTGGGTTTGAGTCCCGGGTCGGGCTAAATAAAACTAGGCTTTTCTGTCAAGAAATCCTTAGTCTTGAGTTGGAAAGTTGGCCGCACCCTCGTGCCTCGTAGACCATGTCAAGTCCTGCTTCTTTGAGAGTGCACTTTTGTTTGCGCAGGATATGTTAGGCATGAGGAAACAGACAGCTTTGAAACGTACTCTCCGAGGCATGGGGGTGAAACACCGCCTACGTCCCTACCGAGCTGTTACTCAGTTTTCTTGATAAAACCCCAGATTGACAATTTTAATACTCCTTATATTTTTATTTTCCATTTGTATACGATATTTCTACCTTTTCATTCATCGCTGAATCTAAGGCACTCGTTTTTCATTTCGTAGAATAAATTGAAAATTATGTCGAAAATGGCTTTTTTATAAATTCACGAATCCATTTAAGTTTCTTTAGAATAAATTCTATAATTCATTAAACTTAATACAAATTTCTTTAGATGCTTTTTCAACTTCAAATCTAGTAATGAATATAAAGAGAATTCTATTTTCTGCATATTAAAGTTCTATTTAACAGGTTTTTAAAAAGTAGAGATTCAAGTTGAGTTTAAGATATTGTGCATGCTACACTATACCTACTTTCCATAATAAAATATAAATAAACATAAATATGTTAGGACATTAACACACAGTTCCATCTACTTCCATGTTAAGCTACGAGACTGTGTTATGAATACCAGATAGTTGATACACTATACACATATAACTTTAAATACATACAAATTATAAATATAAATACCCATGACTGGAGTACAAACATTCGTGCTCATCACACAAATGAATGCCCCCAGCGGGACTCGAACCCGCGACCGCTATAGTAAAGTATTATAATTATGTATTCAGCGCTGGTGCTGGGCATGGGCCTCCCTTCAATACGAGGGGCATCAGGCCTCAGTCCACAATATTTTCCAAATGCTAGTTGGCGGACTTCACATGTCTTTCGAAAACTTTATAAATTATAACTATATTTTTACCATAGTATAATAACATATTTACAAAAGAATTTACTAAAAGCGTGTCAAAAAGGAGCAAACCCGGGGGCAGAATATAGTTAATAATAAATGAAATATATTGTTTGGATTTTCGCAATTTCAATATTAAATATGTAAATAATAAGATTTGTAAGTCAAAATAAACTTAAAATTTGTGATTATTCAAAGTTCTTGAATGTAAAATAATATTGAGATGACGAATTTTGTGACAAATTGGTTCTAAAGTTATTATTTTCGAAGGAATTAATAAGAACGATTTCCTGTTATTTTAAAACTGAAGTTAAATTATAATTAAACCACATAATCAGACGATGTTAGAGCGAGGCAATAATACCTACAGCTTAGCTTATATAATATACTAGCATAGCATTCGCATACTAGACTTCGCCCGCATTCAAATGACCAAAAACCAAATTCTTAGGTTTTACATATTAATATATATATTGCTAATAAAATAAAAGACAGACAAAAATTCGAAAACTATGGATTCGGCATATGTATCGATAATAATGTTTATTTCAATAAAATTTACCAAAAAATATTTAATGTACAGATTCGGCTTAGTTACAATTTTATTATATGTGAAGATTGGCTACTTTCATCTTATTCCTAAATAGCGTTAATTATTATTTTAAAAATAATAGTAACATGCCCAGTGGCAAGTATCTATTTAAAATATCTCATCTGTGAGAAATCTAGGCAAAAGTAACTAGGGACGAACGAACCCGAGCGGAGCGAGTGTGAGTCGCTAGTTTTTATAACAAAGAATGAAATGTTCTTATGTGCAAAACTAACCTCTAAAACTTTTTACCGATTGCTTTAAAATGATGTTACTCAAATACATATATAATATGCCTCGGTGGTGTAGTGGCTAGCATGTACGGCTGCACACTCGGAGGTCCTGGGTTTGAGTCCCGGGTCGGGCCAAGTTATTGAGTCTTTCTGTATAGTAAGTCTCAATAATAGCCCGAAGTTGGGAAGTTGGCGGTGTTTCACCCCCGTGCCTCGGAGAGCAGGTAAAGCCGTCGGTCCTGCGCCTTATCTCTCACTGGTCGTGTCGAGCAGTCGTCCCACCGGAGTATGAGAGTGACAGGAATAGAGAGCGCACATGTGTCTGCGCGTACACTTGTGCACTATAATATCTCTGTCTCTCTAATGTATATATAAGTATATCCTTCTCCATTCTTCTCCACTGGCTGACACGCTTTAAATCCATTAACAATCAAATTGAATTGAATTTAATGATGTACATATAATGATAGATATCGTCATCATAAATTATAGTACACTTGGCTTTTAGGAATCCAGAATTTCGCTGTCGAGATTGTCATGGGGGAAAGCTAGTATTAAATATTTAGAATATATGGAATTAGTTAACTATGTGTGATAATATTTGACACTATGCGAATATTTAACATTTAAAATAGAATAATTTTTTGGTTTTGGAGTAACAAATGTGTGCGATGCGATGATATTTTGGTTGTTTTTTTTGGTGTCACAGAAATGTTGCAAATTTTAGATACTATGTCCTCTGAACTTGAATTGACGAATTTATTGAAAAAATCTATCTATAAGTCTAAATATTCTACTGAGGATTCATTTTAAATCAAAAAAGAAATTTATTTATAAATTAAATATTAGTTTTAAATAAAAATTATGTAAAAGCGTGACAACAAACAAAAAAGCTATTTATAAAATATTTTAAATCAAATGCAATTTTTTGATTAGCGAAAACGAACGTTTTGTAGTCAAATTTTATTTTATTTATATAATTGAATAATTAACGCTCAATGGAAATTTAATAGATCTACATATATTAATATTGTAGAGAGGTAAAGTTTGTGAGTTTCTGAGGTTATAGGGTAATCTCTGGATCTACTGAACGGATTTAGATGAAATTTGGTAAGAAGATAGTTTGAGACCCTGGAAAGGACATAGGATACTTTTTATCCCAGAAATAATCCATTAAGAAGGTGAACATGAGGATGAAAATTTGTATGGGGAATCAACTGAGTATTAAAAGTATTATTAATATAGGCATAAATTATAAAACTTAAGTGTTTTTGATATACGTGTATTTTACCTCTACTAGTAATATGAGTTAATTTATAAAAGCTTTGATGTAAAGTACAGTCGATACGATTAATGAAAGCTCAATAATCAAAGAGAATTTTATTAAAATTGTTGAGTGCTAGAATGTGGGGGCGGTTCGATTGATCGCTGGAAATAAAACTTTTTTACTTCAATAATAATAAATTTAAAACATCTAGTTTAAGTACGGTTCTATCGACATATCACTATTTTTGAAGCTCGATTTTGCTCATCTATAAAGTTAATAGCATTTTTAATTACTTTTTTATACTGTTAAATATATGCATACGAGTATATTACGTTATCTTTTTCATCTTAAGTTGAAAAAATAAATAAATATGTAGGGACATTAACACACATCACCATCTAGTTCCATGGTAAACTACGAGCTGTGTTATGGATACCAGATAGTTGATATACTACACATATATAATTTTAAATACATACATATTATAAATATAAACACCATGACTGGAGTACAAACATTCGTGCTCATCACACAAATTAATGCCCCCAGCAGGACTCGAACCCGCGACCGTTGGCACAGCAATAGAGTTACTACAAACTGAGCCAAACGTGTCGTCATGAATTTAGGCTTATACGTCATTTAGTCTTGTCATGTCTGAGCATTGCATATTTCTTTTCGCATTTCGCAAGCGAACGCTACAAATAATCAAAGTTTCATCACAGTCAGATAGCTGGTATAGAAAAGTATAGAAAAATCTCAAATTATGTCAACTTGTGCGCTATTTACATATATAACAGTGTTATGTAACGATATGATGTAAATGTAAATAAATTGAGTTCATTAGCTCCAGATCAAATGGACGAAGTAATGCCAGTCGATGATGAAACAAGCCCAGAAGAAGAAGATGGTTCAGGAGCTGAACCGCAAATGGAAGCTTCGACCCCTCAACCTAGTCTTATGTCGAGAGTAAGTATGACATTTTATTAGTTTCTTAAACTCGTCAATAGCTATTAAACAAAAAAAAAGAAAATCGGTTGACAAATAAAAGAGAAACAGATAGCTGTTATGTTTTTGCCTATTTTATTTAAGAATCATGAGAATCGGTTGACAATAAGTAAATACTATCCTTTTATAATGTCGTTCAAAAAACAGGAAAATTTTGTGTTACATACACGTGTACTTTTGTATACATAATATTATGTAAAATATAAGATCTCCTAAGGAGGAGTCGAATTTGCAGCAGACTAACGTCAAATATTCAAATTTCTGCGCCATTATGTCCACTAAAATTTTAACGTTTTTATTATCGTAAAAATCTTATGGTATGCTTTAATTATAAATAATGCAAGGATTTTGGTTATTTTCATTTATATTAAGTCACGGCATAATGTTTCATAAAGTATGCTTTTTTATTCTGTGTTTATCAGTTATTACCATAGACATAGACAGGGGACTGTTTCTTTGCCAGCCGTCAGCTAAAAATGGCGGAAAGGCGCGACAGAGACAAAACGAATGTACGGCCAAAAGTCTCCTGTATTAATTGATATACAATTAATGAAGATAGATATTTATAACCATTTTACATTTCATTAAAATATTATAATTTTGTTACATTCCATTTATAAGTTCAAATTAGAATAAAAGACAGCTATAGGTCGCACGTTCGCTTTTTCTCTTTCGAGAGGTCAATTTCATGACAGTATTGCTCAGCCCATCCATTCTCTAGGTCTCTAATATTAACTGCCATATCCATGTAGAGTCAATGAAAGACCTTGTAACTTAACCCCTTGTACCTCTTAAACAAGTATCACAAAACCAACTAATAAATTTCCATAACACCTTATTAACTTCTTTTATAATACTTTCTAACAATAGGTAACAATAATATTTTTAGTTACAAAGTAAAAGAGAAATTAAAATCAATTTTTTTTCTTTATCAAAATTACATTATATTATATCCTTGTCAAATATTTGTTTTATTGTTATTTACTAAAGCAACTAATAATTATATTCAAAATTATCAAAATACAAGAATATGCTTCACAGAATAGAATTAATCTAAAGAAAGTTCTTAAGCAAAAGTGGTCTAACTTTAACATTATATGAATGAAAAATTGCTCTATGTAGGAATATTTATGTTTACTACATTAATAGACAAAAAAAAAATCAAAAAATAATACATTTGCAAGACCATTACTTGGCATTAAAAACTTTTAAAAATCACGACTTAGGTCACTTTGGTCCTTGCCTACAATTTAGTACTCCTCGTAGTATACCCACATAACAAAGTAGCCCCCACCCTTAATCAACCCCTTAACACCAGATATGGAGCTATATCTGGCCATCTCAGCAGAGATCACTTTGGAGCTGGTCTCCCTACCTTCAACACTACAGCGAAGACAAACTCAAGTACTACGGTTATGGGAACTACGCTGGAGGCTTCGGAAGGCAAAGTTGTACGGACAGAGTGACTGTACCTTGTGAAAATGAGTACTTTGTTTCGGTAAGTTTATTTTTTTTTTGATATTTAATAGGTATTGCTAGTGGTTATTACGTGATGTACAAAAATCATTTAAAATTTTGATTTGGCTAAATTTGTAGTGACCCTACTGGCTGTGCCAGCGATCGCAGTTTCCAATCCCGCTGGAGACGAATAAAAGAATTAAGAAAAATAAAAAAATAACGAATAGAGCACAAATACACAATCGTTTAAAAGCAAACACAACTTACACACTATTGTGTCCAGTTTCACAATTAATAAGATCTCAAAAATAAAGTAAAATATTATAGATTGAACATTAAAATAAATTAAATAAAAATAAAATAACAATAACAATTAATAAATAATAATTAAGATTAATACAAACAACATTTTTGATTTATTAGACAAAGTATTTAATGTTATTATAGGATACTTTTTATCCCAGAAATCAACCTTTAAAAGGGTGAAAATGGGGATGAGAGTTGTTATTGGGAAGCAAGTCGCTAGTTATTTATAATTTTGACTCTTACTTTCGTGACACTCATTATTCCAATGTATTGACTTACCCCTCAGTCATGCCTAAACAAGTTTTACTTCAAAAATATTTATTTTCTTTATTTTCCTTATACTTCATAGTCTGTAGTTTGTACAAATCAGTATGTACAAAGTTTTTTGTTGTGTAGACCTACCATAATGATTATAATAATAAAATATACTTAGAATAAAAGTCATTATTGGAGCAAAATAAACAGAGCGATATTAAATTACTTCTCATTTTATTATATTGTGTACGTAATTAATTCTTTGTTATTTAAATTAAGTTGGTTTTTACAAAAATAAACATTCAGTTAATTGCTATTTGCATAAAGAAAAAAATAATAAAATGGCACTTTTTAAACCAGAGGCTGGATAAGTTTAATGCCTTTGATCATTATGTGGTTAGCAATAAAAAATGTAAATGTAATGGAGGCAGGGTGAATTAGATTTTAATATTGACGTGTGCGTCTGTGAAATTACGCACCGTGAGAAGCCATTCTTAGGGGCCACAGACACGTTCAAAATATATATTTGCGTAATGTAATTTATTATTAATATATACTTTTTTATTTTGTCTATAATATTATTTTATTTTGTTTATATATATATATATATATATATATATATATATATATATATATATATATATAAATATAAGCTGGTGTTTTAATATTATAAAAATGGGTTAAAACAAACAAACATAAAAACTGTTTGCTTTTATGCTTCTTTGTTTTTTGAAAAATAGTTTATTAATATTATAGCCTAAAGATTTTTAACATTTCATAATAAACTTTAAGGGTAGAGCAATTATGCTTAAATAAAGTGCGCGAGCATAGCTGTGGGCAAAAGATAGTAAATTATAAGTTTAAAAAATATGTACCCTTTTTTTAAATACATTAATCAAAGTTGCCTTAGAAAAGTTAAATTGATATTATCGATATTTCTAAAAAAAAATCTTTATTGGGACGTTTTCTGATCACATGATATAATGCTTTGATACGTCGATTACATATAGGTATTATTCTTTGTTTTTTCGCTTCGCTCGGGTTCGTCTCTAGGTGATTCTTTAAATTGACATAACTTTTGTTATTTATTAATCGATAGAAATTAAAGAAATACTAAATGTTAAGTGAAGCTTACCATAATATATTAGAGAAAACCACATCCAAATCGGTTTAGCCGTTTCTGAGATTACCGCACACAAACAGATAAACAGTTTTTTAAAAAAATCATTGGTTTAAATTCTTTTGTGTTAATAAAGACTGCCAATAATAGTTCTTCTCAAATATCTTCCCTATACAGACAGCGATCAGTTACAATTTTATTATATGTATAGATAAGCGATAACGTTTGTAGAAAATCGTCATAAGGTCGTATCATAAGTTTGAAATTGTTAGAAAAAATACGTAGATTTTCGTTATTTTAAATAATAAGATAATATTATATAAAATATATTTACTTTCAGTCTCAACTTTTCGGTCCCGGAGTCTGCGATCCGCACCACTGCGGGGATACATTTTGTCCCGGGAGACCATTTCGTGAATGTCACATAGACACTTCTATCACACCCTTCGCAGTGTCAGTACATTTTGGGGTTCCAACAATAAAGCAAAACCCTGAAGAAAATATCGGAATGTGCCTAAGATATACCCAAATACCATGTGATTCTTGAATTTTGAACTGAAAACTGAAAAAAAACTGTTTCAAAACTTTTTCAGTGCTTATGAACTTTAGAATGAAAAATGATTAAATAGTGATGATATCTAATGTCAAAGTTATTTGTCTAAAATCATTTAATGAAAACTTTTGTTTTAAAATTTAAATAAACTAAACGGTCACCCATCGAGTGTGGTGCTGTTAGTAAAGTTGCTTGACTATAGTGATTTTTCTTAAGTCAAGGATGCCCGATGCTAATTAATTATATGTAAATAGTTTTGTATTATAATTATTTATTGTACTTGTAAATTGCTTGTTTGTAAATTATTTAATTTATTTAAATAAATAGATAATATTATATTTATTTTAATGATATTTTTATTTCTTCCTATTATTTAAATAAGTATTTTATTTTATGCAGTGGCAGCCCAGTGGTAACGAGCTCGCAAAAGTAAGTGCAAACCCCGAATCTTGGCTCTGATATTTAAGTACATGTGCGAATCATTTCTAACATGATTATCACGGTCTTACGGTGAAAGCAAACATCGTAAGGAAACCTGCATGTCTGAGAGAACTTATCAAGTTTCGAAAGACATGTGAAGTCCGCCAACCCGCACTTGGCCAGCGTGGTGGACTATGGCCTGATCCCCCTCGTATTGTCGTATTGAAGGGAGGCCCGTGCCCAGCAGTGGGACATTAAAACGTACATACACAATACACACGCATACATACATACATACATTAAATTTTTTCTTTTTAATTTAATTAATTTGTTTGTTTCATTTGTTATTTATTTATATTTAGCTAAACTGCTATGGTAGAGTTTTTGACATAGGTACTACACTACGAGTACATGTGTATTCCTGATACTAACATTGAAAAACGAATGTTAGATTTTAGCGTAACAACGAAAAATTACTACAACAAGAATCAAACCTGTTACCGCCACACAATTTTACACTTGTTTCTTCATCCTGTACAATTTTTAAAGGAAAATATACAAAATATTTTTCTGTGACCATATTTCTTTTGGTTGTTATTAAAAATTATTTCATAATGCTCCATAAAGAGGTATTATTTGAGTTTTTCTTAAGGTATATTATTCTCGAGTGTAATTCAGGATAAACAAGGCTTTACGAAGCTTATTTGCGTAAGTTAATTAAGTAAACAGTATTTTCTTCGTTAATAGCGTTTGTATCTGGAAATGTGCTTTGAGATATTTTAAAATTATTTTTGTTATGGAGAGTTGTTATTTAACTAGGTGAAAATCGCGGGTTTACTTATTTTTTTTAATATTTTTTTTTAAATAAAACTATCTTGTCGGATTATTTCGCGGATTTATTTCGATTTTTGGTTCCCGACGTTTTGAATGCTTTACAGCAATCATGGCCATATTTAATTATAGTACTTATTAATTTTTTTAATATGTTTAGAATTAAAATCAACAAATATAGAGGTGCTTTTGTGCCATTTTTGAATTTTTGTAAAATTGTGGGTAGGCACTATCTGTAACAAGTATATAGCAACCTTTCAGACGTTTAAACCCGAGTCTCTCCCGTGACCATGATTCCTTAAAGCAGAAAAGATAGTTTTATTTAAAATGCCAAATATTTAGGTAAATCTAAGAAAGCATTATAATATTTAATTCTACCTTCAGAAGATTTGAGTATCACTGTTAATCCCTCACAATTAAATGAATTAGAATTGGATGAAATATAGTACGTTATTTTAATATATATAGATAGATACTTACGATAGCTGGAGTAACACACAGTCACTGTTAGGCAAGAAAAGGTTTTTTTTAAAAAACCATATATTTCAGAAGCACAGAAATTGCACTTTCAAAGTGCTGGGGTTTCTCCGTAATCATGTAAGACACCTATGCTACGACACTCCTCTTATTTCCTTTTCCTAAAAATATGTATGTAAATGACATCATAAAAAAAAACAAAAATAGGACATAGAATATTTATAATTAAGGCTAAATTGCTATTAACATTATAAACACAAAATGTACCTAATAAAAACAATATATTTTAATAATTCTTTGTATTCATGCTGTTCTCTATTATATATTATTTTACAAAACAAAATTGGGTCATCCATTGTCTAAATAACCTAATAGCCAAGTTAATGATTCAGTCGAGAGGGCCTTATTTCAACGTAATATCGTAAAAAGGAATTGGCTATTTTTTAAATTTCAACAGAAAGCAAGTGCTATAATATGAGTAGTATACATAACCTACATAAGTACGCACGAAACGGGTTATGTACATACATATGTATATATGTACTATGTATATACATATTGTTGTCTCCTCTTCAAATGAAATTCAAATTAACTTTTACAATAATTTTATTTATTCCAAGTACATTACTCGTTCGCCATATTTTTTCCAAAATCCCCTACTACAACCAAAATGCGCGGGAAAACCATCTCCGTTCCCGCGTCTTCCTTTTTTTTGTATCAAATGCCTATCATTGAATTCCTTATTAATATATAACTAAATACTTTTCTTTCTCTTTTTTTAAAACCTTACAATATATATTATATATGTATATATGTATGTTCATGTACGTAAAGCAAACATATACGAACCGAGTAAACACGATCTCCCCTATACTATTAACTACAAGAACATCATATATCTAAACATTAATATTAATTTGGTTTGTAATGAATTCGTTCACGCCAGACAGTTTAATGCGCTATGAAATATAAGAAATTGATAAAGTTTCAAACTGAATACAATTTATAATAGATTTACACTTAATTATTCTAAATAATGCGAGTTTCAAGGTTTTCGTGACAACCGAAATCGTTTGAGCGTAAATTAAATGTCGTATTTACAAATATTGTTTGGGAATAAGTGTGATAATTAAAAAGTTATTTCACCATCATCTCGCATACTAACAGTTTTGTAAGTAATATGTCTGAATACAAAAGAGATACTCAAGTTTAAAAAATTTTTTTTGTAATATTAATCAAATGGTTACTGTACTGAAAAGAGCAAGTGTTGAGTTTTCAGCTCTTCTCAGCAGAACTGCCTTCCGAGCTAGTGCTACCTAGATTCCTCACGACTTACATAATTATCATTTAATTTAAATTTAAAATGTAAATTTGTCGATTCAAAAGTGCTTGTAAAATTTTATTTCAATAAAGTATTATTTTGATTTTGAAAGATGTGACGTTTTGCTATAACTAGATGGAAATGCGTGGTATTAAGAGAAATTGACTCATATTATGAGAGATAGCTATTATTTTGTATAAAACGCAGTAACTCAGTTTTTAAAAGAGCATCTGTTGAGTTTCTCGCCGGATCTTCTTAGTAGAGCTGCTTTCCGAGCTGATGGTAGCCGCGAGTAAAGTTACACTATCTTTAAATTAATTGAGGATTTAAAAGGGCTTCTATAAGTCTTGATAAATAATTATATCAATAATTGAATAATGTTAATTTTCATTCTTATAAATAGTTCTTACTTAAAGTTACATAAAATAGTTTATTTTAAGCTCAATATATTGCTTTCATCTTAAATGAGAATATTTCATATGAGTATATGAGATTGTTAAATATCATGTTAGCGAAGTAACCTTAGAACAGCTCGAAACTCGGTTATTGTTTATGACGTCACAGCAAATATGTCTTCAAGTTGGTACAGTAAGCTACAATAATTACTTTGATTTCTAGTAAGATTTAATGTTCGACATCAAATAACTAACAATGTACAAACATATTAATTCTATATTTAATAGTATGTAGATAATATTTTTAAGGATTATTGTTATTAATAAGTTTACATATATTATACATTCAAGTATCGTTATATAAATAATGTGAATATTATCCTTTTTTCATGAAATTCCTTTGTTTCAACTCCTTAGGGCTCAAAGCTATTATGACGACTTAGTTGTTGGACAATGAAAGCAATATTTATGATTTACATTAAGTTAGTATCCATATTTATTTTTAATTTTGATGTTTTGTTTGTTGACATCACTATTGTTATATGCTTTGTTATCATTCCATTCGCATCTATGTACATTATTACGTCACGAAAATATATGCCTTTTTTTCCGCAACTAAATCTTTTCTTTACTTAATAATCATTTTTTCTTTATGGGGTCCCCCGTCGGCTCTCAAAGGGCAGGGTACTGTGAAACTCCCACTCACTAAAACCCATAGTGGAATCCTCCGCCGCAGTGCAATGGGGCGTTGCAGGATCGCTAGTGCACACCTTTGCGGATGGCCCGAACCACGCTGGCCAACCTCGCCTAAATCAGAATGCCCTCGATTCACAGAGCATCCCAACCATCTCGATGACATACAGGGGGTCACGAGAGACACCCCCACGGTAGCTACCGTGCTTTCTCTAGGATGGCGGGAGAAGATCTGTATACCGGCGCCGCCTCTTCATCAGCCGACGTCGATGAAGAGGGTTTGCTAAAGCTTTAGCGTCTCGTTGTTTCTCCACCGTTTCTTTCTGTGAGATGACGGTCTCACAGAAGGAGACCATCGCTGATCAAAATCTCACGTCGCGCAGCATGGCCTCCACCTCGCTTCGCAACGAAAAATCTTCACCCACTTCCAAGTAATCATAATTTAACCATAGTAGGTAAACTACCTTATGCTTAATTGTCTCAACATCAAAACCAAATTAACAAACAGATTTTCATATGTATACCAATACCAATGCATATATTTTTAATAAAACTGTTTTATATCACCTCCAATTTAGTATTTTTATTATTGAAATGGACCTATTCTTTTAAAGAACAAGATTAAACAAAAAAATAAAATTAAAATCAGTTCACGATAAGTAGCAAAGATATGGCGTAAAATATACAAAGGAAACATATTATAAGTTTAAATTGCAACTCCTTCTTTTTTAAAGTCGGACAAAATTGCAATCAATATATATTAGTAGTTCCTGAGATTAGAGCGAGCAAACAAACAAAACAACAAACAAACTCTGCCTCTTTTAGTATACGTAGATGTTGAAATCTTCTAAGGC